CGCGTCTGAGCGGAAATATGGAGCTATAAATATTGTAAGTTGGCGGCAGCTGAATTTTGACGCCCGCTACGCAAATCATTTGTGCGATTTGTTGCAACCACTAAACTTTAGCAGAATATTTAATTGCGGTTTTGGCTGAACATGCTTTGGCTTCGGACAGCGTGCGACTGAACCACATTGGCAAAACAAATGTGCAGCCCATGAACGCTAAACGTGACGGCCTATTGATTTGGTTAAAGTTATTTTTAGGCCCTGGCCAACCACTCACCACATTGTGGCCCACAACGGGCGAGAAATCACGGACTCGTGGCGCTGTCGGCTCAACGTCGCGGCTCTGTGGTTTCGTAGTGCGATCGTAGACGGGCCGGGGTGGTGCCTCCTCGTAGGTAACCGTATGCTGCAGTTCGTTGTTTGAAGTGGGTGGTGAGTCATCGGTGGGCGTGTCTGGCCTGGTACTTGTGGGCTCTGCCGGCGGCTTGTAATGACGTTTCGCCTCACGTGCAATGGCCAGCTGACGCTCACGCTCGAGACGATCGCGTTCATGCTGTTTGTCCAGCTCTTGACGCTCCTGTATCTTGGATTCAATGCGTTTGGTTGTTTCAGTATCATTTTGCAGGTGATTCTGCGGGGTTTGCTCCTTGTACCGATTCAGCTCATCGCGCAGGCGATTGTTTTCCATTTTCTAGGCAGCGTTTAGACACATGAGTAGCTATTGAAATTAAATATAGTTATTCACTCACATAATCGTCGGCCTTGCTTTCCAGTTGCATTATGTTGTAAAGCACCTCCTGCTCTGCAGGGCTTAGCATTGCGCCCTCGGCTTGCAGTTGCTTCAGCTCGAATATGCTCTGCCACTTCTTGGATGCGGAATCGAGCAGCATATCGTTATGCTGTGCCCGCTGCAGCAACGTCTCCTGATTTCGTATTATTTCATTAATAGAATTTTCCTGTGGATCCAGCGGCTGCTGATTCTGTTGGCTCTGTTCGTAGGTGCGCAGCGCAGCGGGCTTGCTGGCACGATTAATGCTGGGCCGTTGCTTGTGCTTAGTATTTGGCTCATTCATAACGTCTTCCTTCATGGTAATATCATTAATAGAAGGATATTCGATGTCATCTATCGTTTCGATATCATTATTGTTCTGCTGCGGCGCTTGTACGCTAGGATTGGTGCAGTGCGTGGGATACATCATGATGAAGTATTCGTAGCCGCCCTCCAGAATTTGTATGGGCGTGCGATAGGTGACGTCTGGATCCCACTGTAAAATTAAATGTATGAATATATTCGAGATGTTCGCTTGTTCTTATCCTATATATATATCTGATATAGTTGTTTAATGTTATTATGTTGAGCCTGATAGTTGCATAATTTGATGGAGATATGATGAAAATCAAATTGGTTGTTTACATTAAAACTCAGTTGTGGACCGAATTTTCCTATTGAAGCTATTGGATATAGCAGTCTGCTAATAATATGATTTTTCCCTTAGTTGGTTTGCTTAAGCTACTAAAAGGAAAGTTTCTCAAACAGAAACTCTGTTTTCGGCTAAAAGTTACTATGACAATTATAAAACATAGTGATCTATAATACCAGTTGGTTGGCTACACAATTAATTTACGCACATTTTTTAATATATCCAATAGGGTATAAATGGCTGCGTTGCCCGTCGGATGGGCATCTTTGCTGTTCCAGTCCATTAACACAACCGACTCCTTGACGGAGCGCGCGGCCCACGAGGCCTTGGCGCTGCTGCTTAGGCATGCCTGTAATTTGCCCGCCGACATGCTGCAAGAACAAAAGCTAGGCATTACAACAGGTGTTTCTGAGGCTGAAGTGTGGGGACTTACCCGGGCGTAATCAGCTCCTCGGGCACATTGAATGCACAGTAGTAGGTTAAATGCGAGTTGTTGTAGTCGGCGCTGTTGCGACAGTCCATGACCAGCACAGATTTCTGTTGCATGCGCCGGAACAGTGCCTCACAGCTGATAACGCCTAGTTTGGCATATGCCGCAGCGCTCGCCAATGAGCCTTTCTCATCAATTGGTTCCACTGACGGCAGCGGCGGGCTAATTGGGGCACCATTCATCTTCACATTGCCGCCGCCCGGTGGCAGCAGTTGTTCATAGCGTTTTCTAAGCGATGTGTTAATAAGCTCCAGCGTGTCCATGATGCGACGATTGGAGTCAGTGTCGCCGAGCACTTGCCGCACCGTCACCTTGTGCTGGTTGTAATCGGATTTGCCACGTATGGCTGACAGCATATTGAAGTACTTCATATATGTGATGTAGGCCAACTCTTGATCTCCATCCAGGCGATAGTCCTCAGCGGTCAAGTACAGTTTGCGCGCCGTGTTGAGTAAACTGAAATTTGATTTATTTTTTTTATTTATATTTGTTGACATCAGCATAAAAATTAGTGCACAGATGATGGCACACGGTTGCCACTGGGTTTTTAGGTGGGGCGGGGCGGTGTCTGTGGTGTCCACTTACATTTTCATGCTCTTGTTGCGCAAGTCTGGAATTGTCGTCCACTTCTCCAGATCTTCTATTCTGTCGCCCATATACAGTTTCTTCCACTGTGCCATTGTGTGTCCTGTGTGCGACAGCAAGCCCGTGTGTTTCCGTTTAAATTCGTTCTCCTCAGTCCCTTGGTCGTGATTTTATGTGGGTGCTGCTGCCCGTGAGCCACAGTTTGTGTGTTTGCCAAACACAAATGTTAATTAACATAACAGCGAGAATAACAGTAGCATTCACTAAATAAGCAATAAGTGCTTTGAAAACCACCGGTTGCGAGTTTGTTTCAAATAAATTTGTTGGAAAATACAATTTTTTTGGCTTAACATTAAACTAATTAGCGCGCATTGATTTAGAAGAGTTAGAACAGCCACTCACTGACTCCCACAAAGTTATCGATAGGCATCAACAGCTGTGCTTTAACCCTTATGTTAACATTGCTTAGCTAACTGACCGATAGCATGTGGTGGCCGGTCGATGTAATTGCTTCATAGATTGTGGCGGCCGCTTAATCAGATATGTCGACAACTGTCATTCACCTGTACACGTCGCTTTTAAATACGCGATTCAATCCAGTAAAACTCATACACTAATATTTATATTTCACATTTATTAGTTGCTTTACAAATAAATGAAAATATATTGACTATAAGGTAAATGAAAAATGCCAATTTTTGGCTAGCATACCATAATTATTGCTGCTTTTACTTGTCAAACCATGTTTGCTTTGGTTCCGTATTATGAACTATACTGCCATAGACAACGTCGCGAATAAAGTTGTTTACCTGATAAATGTCTGTAAATAAGCCAGGCAGATTTGGACTCCTACATTCGGGACCATAGGCCACAATGCCACACAGCTCATCCCCGGCTGTGACCGGACAGCCAAAATCGTACATGCATTCATTGTCCTGGTTAAATGCATGCGTGCACGCAATGGTCTCGGCCAGGCGCAGATGTGAATACTGGCTCTGGCAATCCATCTGGTTTAACAGATTCACCTGCTGGGTACGCATATCCTTGTGCTCGGAACTGCACGCCACCACCGTCAGCTTGCCATAGTCCACAATCGGACGGCTGCATAGTTTAACGTATTTGTGGTCATCGCCCGGTATGGGATCGACTAGTTTAACGACAGCAATGTCCATGAAATTTTTGGGATATTGGTACTGATGGGGCACGCTGATGGTCTCGATCAAAGCGAATCTATTGTCAAATAGCGTCTCCACGCTCAGCTCGTTCAGTCTGCGTTTGAACTTGTGCATGCAGCTGGCTGATGTCAGGATATATAATGGGGTATAGTAAGCAGCGCCACATGCGAATCGATCTTCATCCATAATGCGTAGTAACCACTCGCCCACATACGCATTCCTAGTCAACTGATAGCCATTGGTGTCCACTGTCTTTACTGGCGGCCTTACGCGCAAGTTAAAGGCCAAACTCGCGTGGGGGGCTCCTCTGACTAGTTCCATTGAAGGCACCAATTCCAGACAGAGAAGCACTACGAAATATTTGCACTTGCGATCCATTTGATGTTGTCTTGCAACTGATCGTATTAGCTATGAAATAAACTGTAAAGTGCCACATCTAATTGTCCTTAAATTTCCCTTTACGCCAGATTGCATAACTGATTGTATTAAATTCACGTATATACTATATGTGCATCTGCCCTATTATTTGTTTAGGTATAACTAAATTAAGTACGGGAATACGTCAGTTGAGATCTGTACTCATATTCATGAATACATACGTACATATATACATGAATATGTTCATATTGCAAGGAGTATTCATTTTTATTCATGATAACCTTTAGGTTCGGTTCGTGAACCCGTTTTTCCACATTTATCAACCTTTTTGGTTCGTAAAATGTTTAAAATGAAACGATTTAATTATTACAAATTTATTTTATTTTTTATATTGTCATATTTTTTAATTACTCAACTTCATAAATTCAGATAACCTTAATAAAAGACATTGTTATCATGTTTTTAAATATTTAAAAACATATTTAAACCAAGTCGATTTTTGAAATAATATGGTGCGCTTCAGGTTTTGGTTCTTTATTTTTTTTAGCTGATAAAATCAAAAAGTCTCCACATATAATTGTATATATTTATTTAATCGGTTTAGCTTTCTTATTTTGATGTTTTTGATATATTTGACGTTTTTGCTTATTCGATCGAGTAAATATTGCACGCGCCAACTGACCAGACCTGATTCCACGTTCAATTGTGTATATGAAGGGCTTAAGCTTCATCAGGTTCGTATAAATGCCGGGGTTCGATGTGTTCCTGCATGTGGAACCCACCGAAGCGATTCCAAAGAGCTCGTTCTGCGCCACTAACGGAGAGCCGCCGTCGTAAATGCAGTCGAACATATCTCTGGGCAGTGTCGCACACATAATTGTGTCTGCTACAAATCCCGCTTGGAAACGTTTTTTGCATAAAGCTAACCCAAAAAACATTGAATTTTCTACCATTCTTGGCTCATCTGTAGCTGGCTGCACGTCCAGGCTGTCGAAGCCCCATCCGAATGTGCTAAAAACCGTTGCGCTTGTTGCCCAAGTGTTGGTCAATCTAATGAACTCGGTCATTGTTCCTTTTAAGGGGGTGTCCAGTCTTACCAACGCAATGTCCATGTTGCTTCTGTATGCTACGAACTCTTCTGGACTGTAAACAGTATCCACAATGGAGTAGTTGTAATCCTCATCTTCCGCGTTGGCAGTGGTCACCACGCTGGCGTCGTCCAGCTGGTATCGAAATGGGTGAATGCAATTGGCGGACGATATCACCAATATGGGGGCATAGTATGAACCGCCACAAGAAAGGGTATCCGCGCCACCACTCCTAACGCGCACCAGCCAGCCACCAAAATTGTCTCCCGTATTGCTGCTCATGCCTTCCCATTGCCTCTGACGTATCTTCGTCCTTTTCGTAATTGAGTTTGAGTAGACTTTGCTCCAAACTGGCGAGCACCAGATAAGCAGCAGTATCAGCAATCGTTGTTTCATATCTTACGATTTCTGAACTTTACACAAATTCAATTTCCACATTAATGACTGTTGCATCAAATGGAGGCTTAACATATTATCTTCGGGTTTTCTAGAAATAACAATTTTGATTCAACTTGAATCGATTTGCTTCGCGTTTTGCACGCTTCAAAACTGGAGAAAAAGAGTTAAATAAAATTGCACGTAACTGACAGAATAAATTATGTCTAAAATCCTTTACCAAAGATTTATTTATTTTTTCATATAATACGCTATGATTTTTAATCGCAGTAAATTTAAATATTAGTTTGCCTAGTTTGCGATTGATCTTTATTTAAGGAATATAATTCAGCTAGATGCAGGTTAAGATCTTGTCGGCGATTCCACTTACATTTGAGCGTTTATTATTTAAGTTTCACAGTTTCTTAAGCTAATAAATTTGTTTTAGTGAAGATGGACATTCAATGAATTTAGTTTCTTATGGGCTCGGTGATCTTTTTAGACTTTCCCACTGCGGACGGATTTCCCTTTTGCGACGCTCCAACTGACCAGACCTGATTCCACGCTCAATTTTGTTTATGAAGGGCTTAAGCAACATCAAGTTCGTATAAATGCCGGGGTTCGATGTGTTCCTGCATGTGGAACCTACCGAAGCGATTCCAAAGAGCTCGTTCTGCGCCACTAACGGAGAGCCGCCGTCGTAAATGCAGTCGAACATATCTCTGGGCAGTGTCGCACACATAATTGTGTCTGCTACAAATCCCGCTTGGAAACGTTTTTTGCATGTAGCTAACCCAACAAACATTGAATTTTCTACCATTCTTGGCTCATCTGTAGCTGGCTGCACGTCCAGGCTGTCGAAGCCCCATCCGAATGTGCTAAAAACCGTTGCGCTTGTTGCCCAAGTGTTGGTCAATCTAATGAACTCGGTCATTGTTCCTTTTAAGGGGGTGTCCAGTCTTACCAACGCAATGTCCATGTTGGTTCTGTATTCTACGAACTCTTCTGGACTGTAAACAGTGTCCACAAGGGCGAAGCTGTAATCCTCATCTTCCGCGTTGGCAGTGGTCACCACGCTGGCGTCGTCCAGCTGGTATCGAAATGGATGAATGCAATTGGCGGACGATATCACCAATATGGGGCCATAGTATGAACCGCCACAAGAAAGGGTATCCGCGCCACCACTCCTAACGCGCACCAGCCAGCCACCTAAATTGTCTCCCGTATTGCTGCTCATGCCTTCCCATTGCCTCTGACGTATTCTCGTCCTTTTCGAAATTGTGTTTGAGTAGATTTTGCTCCAAACTGGCGAGCACCAGATAAGCAACAGTATCAGAAATCGTTGTTTCATATCTTACGATTTCTTAACTTTACACAAATTCAATTTCCACATTAATGACTTTTGCATCAAATGGAGGCTTAACACATTATCTTCGGGTTTTCTAGAAACAACAATTGTGATTCAATTTGAAACGATTTGTTTCGCGTTTTGCACGCTTCAAAACTGGAGAAAAAGAGTTAAATAAAATTTTACGTAACTGTCTACAATCCTGTACCATAGTTTTATTTAATCTCTATATATAAAACTGTTTGTCCTGACTGACTGAGTGACTGACTGACTGACTGACTGACTGACTGACTGACTGACTGACTGATTGGTGATCAACGCACAGCCCAAACCGTAAGAGGTAGGAAGCTGAAATTTTCACTGTAGTTACCTTATGTGATGTAGGTGCACGTTAAGACGGGGTTTCGGGAAATTCCACCCGCAAGTGTGGAAAAATCGCGAAAAACGTTTGTATGTAACTTTTTTGTTTACCATCCGATCGGCCCCAAACTTATTTTCAAAGATCTTTGTTCAAATTCATTTGAGGGGTGTTTCGCACTTTTCGGAAAACCCATTCCTCCTTGGTGGAAATGGAGGTCAAAGATTTGGTGGGTGACGTTTCGCGCTCAAATTCATTTCCAGTGATCTATATGAAAAATCATTTGAGACGTGTTTCTCACTTTTCGCAGAATTCGAACTTCTTGGGGGGAAATGCGATTTAAAGATTTTTTGGGCGGCGTCTTAAGTTGTGTCCGATTTGCTTCAAACTTATTTTTAAAGCTCTTCATAAGAACTTAATAAGTACGTATTTCAGCGATTTGGAAAATTCCACCCGCAACAGTGATAAATTGGCGGAAAACGGTTGTATGAAAGTTTTTTGTTTATCATCCGATCGGCCCCAAATTCATATTTAAAGATCTATGTTTAAATTGATTTAAGGGGTGTTTCACACTTTTTGAAAAATCCATTCCTCCTTGGTGGAAATGGAGGTCAAAGATTTGGTGGGTGACGTTTCGCACTCAAATTCATTTCCAGAGATCTATATGAAAAATCATTTGAGACGTGTTTCACACTTTTCGCAGAATTCAAACTCCTTCGTGGGGAATGCGATTTAAAGATTTTTTGGGCGGCGTTTTAAGTTGTGTCCGATTTGCTTCAAACTTATTTTCAAAGCTCTCAATAAGAACTTAATGAATACGTATTTCGACGATTTGGAAAATTCCACCCGCAACAGTGGTAAATTGGCGGAAAACGGTTGTATGAAAGTTTTTTGTTTACCATCCGATCGGCCTTAAACTCATTTTCAAAGATCTATATTCAAATTCATTTGAGGGGTGTTTCACACTTTTTGAAAAATCCATCCCTCCTTGGTGCAAATGGGGTCGAAGATTTGGTGGATGACGTTTTGTGTTCAAATTTATTTCCAAAAAACTATAAGAAAAATCATTAGAGACGTGTTTCACATTTCTCGCAAAATCTAAACTCCTTCGGTGGAAAATGCATTTTTAAGATTTTTTTGGTGAATTTTAAGAGTTTTCCGATTTGCATAAAAGTTGTTTGATTCCCGTCCGATCAGTTTCAAAAGTTTTCAAAGCTTTTTGAAAACATTGATTTTATAACATACGTGCCACGGGCAAGGCCGGGTTATACCCGCTAGTTTTTTATAAAAAAACCCAAATATTTTCAAAAACAACAGCTGGTTGTAGTGGGGAAGTGCAGTACATTTAAACATTACACTTTTCTATGAAGCTAGTTTGCCTAGTTTGCGATTGATTTTTATTCAAGGAATATAGTTTAGCTAGATGCAGGTAAAGATCTTGTCGGCGATTCCACTTACATTAGAGCGTTTGTTATTTAAGTTTCACAATTTCTTAAGCCTATAAATTTGTTTTAGTGAAGATGGACGTTCAATGAATTTAGTTTCTTATGAGCTTGGTGATCTTTTTAGGCTTTCCCACTGCTGACGGATTTCCCTTTTGCGACGAGCCAATTGACCAGACCTGACTGCTTTCCGAATATTCTTTATATAAGGTGTTAGCTTGATCACGCTCGTATAAATGCCAGGAAGCGAAGTATTCCTACATGTAAATCCCACCGAGGCGACGGCAACGAGTTGGTTTTTCCAGACCACCGGAGAACCACCATCGTAAATGCACTCAAAACTATCCTCGGGCATTTTCGCGCACACAACAGTGTCCGAGACAAATCCCGTCTGAATTTTTGTTTTACATGTATCCAGCGGCGTAAATGTCAGTTCTGTCTTTCGTGGCTCATCTGAAGGTGGCTGCACTTCCAGACTGTCAAAGCCCCATCCAAATGTAAGATATGTATCGTCAAGGCTCGGCATTACGGGGGCCAGCTTGATGAATTCGGTCATGCTGCCTTTTAAGGGACTGTTCAACCTGACCACCGATATGTCCACGTTGGTTTTAAGTGCCGTAAAGTCATCTGGAAAGTATACTGTATCAACTCGGGAGAAGTTGTAGTCCTCGTCTTCTGCATTGGCTGTCGACACTACGTTCGCCTCGTCTAGTTGGTATCGAAAAGGATTTATGCAGTTGGCAGAAGAGATCACCAACAATGGCGAATAGTATGAACCACAACAGGAAAGGGTATCCGTGCCACCACTTCTAACACGCACCAGCCATCCGCCAAAATTATCTCCCGTATTTGAAGCCATTCCACCCCATAGACGATTTCTTATAATCGTATTTTTTGTAATTAATTTATTGTATATTTTACTTCTGACCAAGGGAATCCAGATAAATAACAGCAGCAATTGTTGTTTCATTTCAACAACTTTCAATCTTTAACTGCAGATTACTACGACATGCTACAGAAACCGTCAATCATGTATGAGTTGTTCTAATTATCCTCGCTATTTCTCGCTAATTGGATTCGTTTTGTTCATTTAATAAATTTTAAATTTTAAGAAATTTTTTAACACCTAATTTTAATTTAAACTTTTGATCCGTAGACTCAGCAATCGACTATTTAGCGAAACTAATGTATAAGAGTGTAAAGTTTTTTTTATGTCTATTTAGCTTTAAGCTCATTTTCAAAGATCTATCTACTAGTTGGGAGTGCCAAACTAGGCGATACTCTGAGCCCAGGCAGTTGAAGCATATGAAATTAACTTCTCTTTTGAATTAAAAGAAGAACCTGTAAGGGCTAGAGACTGAAATTTGTAACGTGGGGCCTCCTAGTGCATGCGCAGTACGAGTTTGTGTCCGATAATCGATAACTTTCCACGTTTACAAATAATCGATAAAAATCTATATCGAAATCTTGATTTTTGAGCAAATCTCGTAAACTATAAAAGCTAGAAACCAAATCGTACAAGTAGCTTCTTGAATAGCATGTATGTTTCAAATACATTTCAGTTTTTAACTATTTTTACCATTTAAAATTGATTTATTATTACTTCTAAAGCAAACGCGTTCGGAATGCAGCATACTTGTTATACCCCAGCAGAGGGTATTATAATTTTGTCGTGGAATGTGTAAAGCATAGAAGGAGACATCGCCACCCCATAAAGTATATATGATCAGTATCAACAGCCGAGTCGAGATAGCCATGTCCTCTGTCCGGCTGTCCGTCTGTCTGTTTCTATGCGAAGTTTTATCAGTTTTAAAACTATCTTTATGAAACTTTGCAGAAGTGCCTCTTTCGGTTGCACGCAGTACATATGTCGGAGCCAGCTTGATCGGACCACTATAACATATAGTTGCCATAGGAATGATCGGCCGAAAAGTAGGTTCTTGTATGAAAAACTTTTTTGTTTATCAAGATATCTTAGGAAAACTCGGCATTTATTAGTTTTACTATGCACCCTCCATTTACGCAAAATCCTTTCAACATCGGACCACTATATCATACAGCTGCCATAGGAACGATCGGTCGAAAATTAATTTGCTGTATGGAAATTTTTTTTGTTTATTAGGATGTCTTGACTAAACTCGGCATTTAATAGTTTAATTATACCCCTCATTTATATGTAAAATCTTGTCAACATCGGACCACTATATCATATAGTTGCAGAACGATTAATTTGTTGTAAGGAAAATATTTTTGTTTTTCAAGATATCTTGAAAAAATCCTATCAACATCAGATCACTATATCATATAGCTGCCATAGGAACGATTGGTCAAAAATTAAGTTGTACGGACAATTTTTTTTGTTTTTCAAGATCTCTTAACCATACTCGTCATTTACTACTTTTCCTGTGCTTCTTAGATACGGGCAAAGCACTATGAGCATTATGAAAAGGTTGGGTCTGCAAGGGTATTAAATCTTCTTCTCTTAGTATTCTTACTTGTTTTATTTACATGTTTAGTATTTTTTACTCGTATTTCACAGTGCTTAAAGCCAAAAGCTTGCATTAAATTAATCTGTCAAAATTTATTCATGCACATCCATTTAATATAGGTTCTATAAACTTATTTGACTTTGCCACTGCGCGCGGATTTGTCTTTTGTTGCGCGACAATTGACCAGATCTTACACCTTTGTGAATCTCAGATATGTAGGGTTTCATCTTGATGATGCTCGTATAAATGCCATGATTCGTTGTATTTTTACAAGTAGCCCCTACTGAGGCGATGCCAACGAGCTCGTTGTTCCAGACTATCGAAAACCTCCATCGCAAATGCCCTCTAAACTATTCTCGGGAAATTTCGCGCAAGGAACAGTGTTCGATACGAATCCCCATATCGAATTGTTGCACGATTGTTTTTCTTGGCTCATCTGAAGGTGGCTGCACTTCTAGGCTGTCGTAACCCCAGCCAAAGGTATAAAAACTTGTGCCAGCGGCGGGCTGCATGCTGGCCAGTTTGATGAACTCTGTCATTTTACCTTTTAGGGGCATGCTTAGCCTGACTATTGCAATGTCCAAGTTGGTTTTTTGCGGAACAAAACCGTGTTGTGTGTAAACCGAATGTACCAGGAGAAACTAATGTCCTCAATATTATTTAAGGAATATAATTCAGCTAGACGCAGGTTACGATCTTATCGGAGATTCCACTTACATTAGAGCGATTATTATTTAAGTTTCACAATTTCTTAAGCCATTTGTTTTAGTGGAGATAGACATTCAATAAATTTAGTTTCTTATGGGCTTGGTGATCTTTTTAGGCTTTCCCACTGCTGACGGATTTCCCTTTTACGACGAGCCAATTGACCAGACCTGACTGCTTTCCGAATATTCTTTATAAAAGGTGTTAGCTTGATCACGCTCGTATAAATGCCAGGAAGCGAAGTATTCCTACATGTAAATCCCACCGAGGCGACGGCAACGAGTAGGTTTTTCCAGACCACCGGAGAACCACCATCGTAAATGCACTCAAAACTATCCTCGGGCATTTTCGCGCACAGAACAGTGTCCGAGACAAATCCCGTCTGAATTTTTGTTTTACATGTATCCAGCGGCGTAAATGTCAGTTCTGTCTTTCGTGGCTCATCTGAAGGTGGCTGCACTTCCAGACTGTCAAAGCCCCATCCAAATGTAAGATATGTATCGTCAAGGCTCGGCATTACGGGGGCCAGCTTGATGAATTCGGTCATGCTGCCTTTTAAGGGACTGTTCAACCTGACCACCGATATGTCCACGTTGGTTTTAAGTGCCGTAAAGTCATCTGGAAAGTATACTGTATCAACTCGGGAGAAGTTGTAGTCCTCGTCTTCTGCATTGGCTGTCGACACTACGTTCGCCTCGTCTAGTTGGTATCGAAAAGGATTTATGCAGTTGGCAGAAGAGATCACCAACAATGGCGAATAGTATGAACCACAACAGGAAAGGGTATCCGTGCCACCACTTCTAACACGCACCAGCCATCCGCCAAAATTATCTCCCGTATTTGAAGCCATTCCACCCCATAGACGATTGTTTATAATCGTATTTTTTGTAATTAACTTATCGTATATTTTACTTCTGACCGAGGGAATCCAAATAAACAACAGTAGCAGCAATTGTTGTTTCATTTCAACAACTTTCAATCTTTAACTGCAGAGAAATCCAATTACTACGACATGCTACAGAACTCATGTATGACTTGTTCTAATTATCCTCGCTATTTCTCGCTAATTGGATTCGTTTAGTTCATTTCATAAATTTTAAATTTCAAGAAATTCTCCAACACTTAATTTAAATTTAAATTTTTGCTCTGTAGACTCAGCAATCGACTATTTAGCAAAACTAATGTATAAGAGTGTAAAGGTTTTTTTTATGTCTATTTAGCTTTAAGCTCATTTTCAAAGATCTATCTACTAGTTGGGAGCGTTAAACTAGGCGATACTTTAAGCCCAGGCAGTTGAAGCATATGAAATGAACTCTTCTTTTGAATTAAAAAAAAAAGTTTCAAACAAAATGGTTTATTAGCTCCCATTCGTGCGACCGAGACGATGTATGGTGCCTGTTTAGGTTAAGAAGTTCTCAAATGTTAGTTCCACTATTCAGGTGTAAGTCTTATTCACAAAACCAAAAAGAATTCTCCTGGGCTTTTTATATTTTAATTCATTTCAATTCATTTTAAAATCATCTTAAAGGATTTACTTGAAGAGCTCAAAATAAAGCGGTGCTTTAATAATGTGTCAACTACCTGTCTGAGTGAACCCTTGGGTATTTTTCAAAAATTGTTGAAAAAATGTATTAAATTATTAAAACATGTTTTATAAATTTTAGAATTACGCACTTATTTAACCCATGTAAGTATATATATAGCGGACTATACTTGAATAATTTGTTCAGATGTTTTTTCAACTTCCTATAATATTGTTTGGCACAATATGTGCAATTTTATACCCTCAACCTATTAAAATTGGTAAAACATATATAATGGATTTTGTGCAAATGTATGTAACTGGCAGAAGGAATAGCCAAGTGGATCTAGCCATGAGCAAATCTCGTAAACTATAAAAGCTAGAAACCAAATCGTACAAGTAGCTTCTTGAATAGCATGTATGTTTCAAATACCTTTCAGTTTTTAACTATTTTTACCATTTAAAATTGATTTATTATTACTTCTAAAGCAAACGCGTTCGGAACGCAGCATACTTGTTATACCCCAGCAGAGGGTATTATAATTTTGTCGTGGAATGTGTAAAGCATAGAAGGAGACATCGCCACCCCATAAAGTATATATATTCATGATCAGTATCAACAGCCGAGTCGATATAGCCATGTCCTCTGCTCCGGCTGTGCGTCTGTCTGTTTCTATGCGAACTAGTCTCTCAGTTTTAAAACTATCTTTATGAAACTTTGCAGAAGTGCCTCTTTCGGTTGCACGCAGTACATATGTCGGAGCCAGCTGGATCGGACCACATTATCAGATAGTTGCCATAGGAACGATCGGCCGAAAAGTAGGTTCTTGTATGAACAACTTTTTTGTTTATCAAGATATCTTAAGAAAACTCGGCATTTATTAGTTTTTCTATGCTTCCTCCATTTATGCAAAATCCTATCAACATTGGACCTTTATATCATATAAGTATTTTTGTTTATTAGGATATCTTGACTAAACTCGGCATTTAATAGTTTTATATATACCCCTCATATATATGTAAAATCTTATCAACATCGGACCACTATATCATATAGCTGCCATTGGAACGATCGGTCGAAAATTAAGTTGTATGAAAATGAATCAATACATTTAGTAAAATGGAAAACGGTGTGAAAAGAACAAAAGAAGTTCAAGTTTAGAGCAAAGGTTGAGTGCTCTATGCTCATTGAAGGACGAGGAGAAAAGACCGAAAGTCAATGAGGACTTTTCGGTAAATGGCCCAGTTTACAAGGTAGCCGGGCATTATAAAGATTTGGAGAGAATTTGGGAGATAGGAAAGGAGGTTAAAGAAGTTGCAGAAACAGAAATCTGCGTGAAAATTGTTATTGAAACAACAAAAGAATTAGATGGAAGGAATACAGTAACCATTCCGCTTAAGGATGAAAAAGAGTTAGGAGAATCAAGACCACAAAAGATGGAACGGTTTCTACACTCAGAAAATAAATGCTGAAGAAATACGCAGCTTAAGGAAAGTTATAGAAATTTCTTAGGAGAGTATGTGGACCTTGGAAATTACGTCGAGTCCAACGAAAATGAAACTAATTTCGTAGGTGCGTCAAGAAAGCTTAATCAAGATTTCCTAGAAGGCGACAAAAACTTAACATTATTAAAAGAAATATGAATCCCTAGATGGTTACAGACTAGCGTAAAGCTTGAAATACAGCTTCATGGACTCACGTATGCATCAGAGAAAGCATACACAAGAGTGGTATATGATACGCACGACAAAAGAGAACATGTAGAAAATACTGAGGAAAATAAAGTAATAGCTATTGAAGAAAATGAAAAAATCCAGTGTGATAAAATTATCCCGCCGGCAGGACTTAACTTCGGAGGTATTTGGGAGGCCGGAGTTAACTCAGTAAAATATCATCTAAAAAGAATAATAGACAACTTAGATAGATGGAAACTCATTAATAGAATGAAGAAAGAGTTTTGGTCAAAAGATTATTTGTATGCCCTACAACAAAAAAGTAAGTGGAATAAAGAAACGTTGAGACTACAGCGGGAACTTTTGAAATACGAATTCAAAATTAAGGTCAATTGTGAGGGCTCAGAAAACATAAACAAAAAACAAGTATTATCCACGCTTGCAAAGATTTTAATCCATTAGGTTGGCTAGCCCCGGTTAGAGTTGTAGGAAAATTATTCATGCAATAATGCATAATGTTACTCAAGCAAGAATAGACAAATCAATTTATCACAGAAATAAAGTGCTAACGTCAAAAAAAAAAGAAATTGAAACAAAGAGTAAAATACAAGGACTAAACCCATTTTTAGTCGGAAGTAGACATCAAAATTCAAATACAGAAATTAAGGAGAGTAACAGAGTCGCTTAAGATTGTAAGAGCGACCTACGCTAAGAAATGTCATATTAGAAAATAGCCAGGATTCGTTGTATTTTTACAAGTAGCCCCTACTGAGGCGATGCCAACGAGCTCGTTGGTCCAGACTATAGGAGAACCTCCATCGTAAATGCACTCAAAACTATCCTGTGGATTAATTTCGTGCAAAGAACTGTGTTCGATACGAATCCCTTTGGAAATAGTTTCTATATCGAATTGTTGCACGATTGTTTTCTTGGCTCATCTGAAGGTGGCTGCACTTCTAGGCTGTCGTAACCCCAGCCAAAGGTATAAAAACTTGTGCCAGCGGCGGGCTGCATGCTGGCCAGTTTGATGAACTCTGTCATTTTACCTTTTAAGGGCGTGCTTAGCCTGACTATTGCAATGTCCAAGTTGGTTTTTTGCGGAACAAAACCGTGTTGTGTGTAAACCGAATGTACCAGGAGAAACTAATGTCCTCAATATTATTTAAGGAATATAATTCAGCTAGACGCAGGTTACGATCTTATCGGAGATTCCACTTACATTAGAGCGATTATTATTTAAGTTTCACAATTTCTTAAGCCATTTGTTTTAGTGGAGATAGACATTCAATAAATTTAGTTTCTTATGGGCTTGGTGATCTTTTTAGGCTTTCCCACTGCTGACGGATTTCCCTTTTACGACGAGCCAATTGACCAGACCTGACTGCTTTCCGAATATTCTTTATAAAAGGTGTTAGCTTGATCACGCTCGTATAAATGCCAGGAAGCGAAGTATTCCTACATGTAAATCCCACCGAGGCGACGGCAACGAGTAGGTTTTTCCAGACCACCGGAGAACCACCATCGTAAATGCACTCAAAACTATCCTCGGGCATTTTCGCGCACAGAACAGTGTCCGAGACAAATCCCGTCTGAATTTTTGTTTTACATGTATCCAGCGGCGTAAATGTCAGTTCTGTCTTTCGTGGCTCATCTGAAGGTGGCTGCACTTCCAGACTGTCAAAGCCCCATCCAAATGTAAGATATGTATCGTCAAGGCTCGGCATTACGGGGGCCAGCTTGATGAATTCGGTCATGCTGCCTTTTAAGGGAATGTTCAACCTGACCACCGATATGTCCACGTTGGTTTTAAGTGCCGTAAAGTCATCTGGAAAGTAAACTGTATCAACGAGGGAGAAATCGTAGTCCTCGCCTTCTGCATTGGCTGTCGACACTACGTTCGCCTCGTCTAGTTGGTATCGAAAAGGATTTATGCAGTTGGCAGAAGAGATCACCAACAATGGCGAATAGTATGAACCACAACAGGAAAGGGTATTCGCACCACCACTCCTAACTCGCACCAGCCATCCGCCAAAATTATCTCCCGTATTTGAAGCCATTCCACCCCATAGACGATTTCTTATAATCGTTTTTTTTGTAATTAATTTATCGTATATTTTACTTCTGACCAAGGGAATCCAAATAAACAACAGTAGCAGCAATTGATGTTTCATTTTAACAACTTTCAATCTTTAACTGCAGAGAAATCCAATTACTACGACATGCTACAGAACTCATGTATGAGTTGTTCTAATTATCCTCGCTATTTCTCGCTAATTGGATTCGTTTAGTTCATTTCATAAATTTTAAATTTCAAGAAATTCTCCAACACTTAATTTAAATTTTTGATCTGTAGACTCAGCAATCGACTATTTAGCAAAACTAATGTATAAGAGTGTAAAGGTTTTTTTTATGTCTACTTAGCTTTAAGCTCACTTTCAAAGATCTATCTACTAGTTGGGAGCGCCAAATTAGGCGATACTCTTAGCCCAGGCAGTTGAAGCATATGAAATGAACTCTTCTTTTGAATGAAAAAAAAAAGTTTCAAACAAAATGGTTTTATTAGCTCCCATTCGTGCGACCGAGACGATGTATGGTGCCTGTTTAGGTTAAGAAGTTCTCAAATTTTAGTTCCACTATTCAGGTGTAAGTCTTATTCACAAAACCAAAACGAGTTCTCCTGGGCTTTTTATATTTTTTACGTTACGTTAATTCATTTTAAAACCATCTAAAAGGATTTACTTGAAGAGCTCAAAATAAAGGGGAGCTTTATTAATGTGTCAACTACCTGTCTGATTGAACCATTGGCTATTTTTCAAAAAAGGTTGAAAATATATATTAAATTATAAAAACATGTTTTATAAATTTTAGAAATACGCACTTATTGTACCCAACTAAGTTTATATATATAATATATAAACAATATGTTCATTTTTATACCCTGAATTGCCTTTGGTGTTGGTAAAAGAGGGTTCAGGGGATCCCCTAGTCGCGAAATCACGACTAGAGCCTCTTACTTGTTTTATTAACATGTTCAGTATTTTTTACTCGTATTTCACAATGCTTAAAGCCAAAATTATTCATGCACATCCATTTATTAAAGGTTCTATAAACTTATTTGACTTTGCCACTGCGCGCGGATTTGTCTTTTGTTGCGCGACAATTGACCAGATCTTACACCTTTGTGAATCTCAAATATGTAGGGTTTCATCTTGATGATGCTCGTATAAATGCCAGGATTCGTTGTATTTTTACAAGTAGCCCCTACTGAGGCGATGCCAACGAGCTCGTTGTTCCAGACTATAGGAGAACCTCCATCGTAAATGCACTCAAAACTATCCTGTGGAAATTTCGCGCAAAGAACAGTGTTCGATACGAATCCCTTTGGAAATAGTTTCTTACATCGGTCTATATCGAATTGTTGCACGATTGTTTTTCTTGGCTCATCTGAAGGTGGCTGCACTTCTAGGCTGTCGTAACCCCAGCCAAAGGTAGAAAAACTTGTGCCAGCGGCGGGCTGCATGCTGGCCAGTTTGATGAACTCTGTCATTTTACCTTTTAGGGGCATGCTTAGCCTGACTATTGCAATGTCCAAGTTGGTTTTTTGCGGAACAAAATCGTGTGGTGTGTAAACCGAATATACCGGGGAGAAACTGAAGTCCTCATCATCCGCATTGGCAGTGGACACCACACTGGCATCGTCCAGCTGATATCGAAATGGGCTTATGCAATTGGCCGATGAGATCACCAATAGAGGTGAATAGTAGGCACCACAGCATGAAAAAGTATTCGCACCGCCACTCCTAACGCGCACCAGCCAGCCACCCCAATTGGTTTCCTCACTGAATCTGAAGCCAACCCATTGACGGTCAATGACCTTCGTGTTTTTCGTAATTGCATTCTGGTAAAGTTTGCTCTCAGCTGGGCAAACTAAATAAATCAACAAAAGCAGCAATTGTTGTTTCATCTTGTTAAAGTTCAATCTTTTTTCTGCTGAGAAATTGTATTTTATAATATCGTGCTATGCGGGCGGCTAATGCATTAACTGAAACTCATTCAAATTTTCTACGCATTTATCAGCCCATTAGAGTCGCTTAATAGTTTTAAGCAATTTTGTACACCTCTCAAACTCATTGTTTCCAATTGATGTTTTCATATCCACTTGTGGTTAATATACAAACTATGGCATTTACACAGTAGTTGATCTTAACAAACTTATTGCAGTCGGATGCTTAGTTAAAACAATTTAACAGCATTTCACACAATTTTCCATATTTACAAACAAATTTTAATGCGACGGTAATTTTTTAATTATTGTTTTATTTTTAAGTATATGAAAGGTAAGCTTTTTCCCCCACTCATAAACAAAAAAAATTGAATTATTCTTATTCATTAAAGTCGTTTGACGTCGTCGGTCGCTGAGCGTTCATCATTTTAAGCGAGCGTTTAAACATCCAGTCGGATGCATATTTTTGGCACCAAACCCGTAACCGTAAATGCGACACAACGGAGATGACATCACGGCCGGATTGCGGCCAACTTGCGTACTTTTCGCAACGCGCTTAGCGGTACTTTCGCAGTCACCACCCCAAATATATATAGACATACATATATATAAACAAGTAACCCACCGAAAATTGAGCCGGCCGATTGAGTTGGGTGCGCAGTTATTTTGGGAATTGCGCAATTTGGGTTTCAAGTGCAAAAACTGGCCGCTGAACCCACGACATCAGCAACAACAACAACAACACCAGAAACACTTCCTGGCACCTTGGCGTCAGCTACATATGTATATGCTTCGAAGGGCTCCGCTCTTTCTTGTTACTAGGCTTCCGGCATTGCTTATGACCAGCGGCGCACGTAGGCAACCATTCAACGGCACCCACCGGCACCCATTGGCACCCATTGGCACCCACTGGCGACACTACTCGGTGGCTTATTGGAATCCGATTCACGCAACTTTACGCTCTATGTGCCATCATAATCGTCATCGGCGCCCCACGATTGCCATGCCTAACAGGTGTGCACTGCGTGGTTCGCACGCCCAGTTCTGGCTCCAGGTTTAGTTACCCGCCGATTTGGGCACATGCTCCGCATTAATTCGGCGAATCGTTGACGTCGCGCCTGCGCCGCATGCTGAATGAGGCGGGCAACGCGTGCGCGATTCGCTTCTGACGTAGTTGCCCGTAGCCCATTTGCCTATTTATGCAAGGGGCATTTAACACTAGAAAGCCGGTTGGGTTAGAATGGTCTAGTTTGAGTTAGATTTATGAAAAAAAAAAAAAAAATTACCCACGTGACGATGCAGCCTTATTCAAAAAAGCCGCTTTTGACGTTTGTCCACGATAAAGCCTGAGGACTTGGCGAAACATCACCTAAGCCAACCAAATATATTGGTAGTGAGGAGACTGATTATATTAAAAAAATATATATAAACAGTTGTATAAACAGTTAAAGCTGGAAAAAGAGGACTGAGAAGGAGATGAGCAGAGCTAGTAAGAGATTCTGTTTTTTAGATTGGGTACACAATTTGTTAACATAAAATCTGTAGTCAAAGCGTGAAGAAAAATTCGTGAGAATCGCATAGCAGGGCACTATTAAAACAAACGATTTTTATTTTATTTGCATAAGCATTAGCTAAAATCGTATTTGTTTCGAAATTTTCCCGTTTTGGGTTGTTCAGGTCTTTCTGGTGTTAAAATGTATTATAAATTCACTTAGCATCTAGCATACAAATCGCGTCTTAATTTCTACAATTTGCGACATTGTTAACACCAATTTCCTTTGTTTCAATTGGCAACAACTTCCTTCTACAGTAATACAATTGTGATATAGATATAGAAAAACTACACGCATTTCAAATCACAATTCCATAGAAATGTTGTTTTACACTTTGTGTTTCTTTTTTCTCAGAATAATGGATATTTTTTGCGCCAACGCCATCCGCACTGAAAGCAATATATTTTGTTTATCTAGCATATTGTTTGCTTTGTTGGTAAATATATTTATTTGATATCCTTGCTGCAGCTGCACAGCCGCATAACTCCCCCCCCCCCCCCCCCCCTCCTTGGCATCATACAATTTAATTTTTTAAGGAGGCAAAAACTTGTTCTGCTTATAAAAAGATAGAGGTGCTGAGCTGTCTGGGGTAATTTGAGAAAGTTAATGATCTCAACTGCGCCCATCTGTTGTTGTCGGTCTCCGGTCTGCCAGAAGATGCAGCTCTCCAGTGTAATTGATTCTTCCTGCCGTTTGTCAGGAAGCTGAAAAAAATAAAAAATAACTTGTCAGACAGATCGGAAGCAGAGATAAAATTTTTGTTCGTCCGGACGCCGTGTCCATCGATCAGTGTAATAATCATCCTTTGATCTTGAGTTACTTTTGGGCACATTGAAGCTATTGAAGAGCGCAATTACTGTGCTCTTCGGATCTAAAGTTTCCTGAGTTTCACATTAGTGGGTGTTTCAATTCGCTGAATTAACAGAACTGCGCAAAGTTATAAGTTGGTTTTTTATATAGTTTCTTTCCATACAGCTTCTTTTTTTTGCACCAAACACTATTCCCAACTACACAGTTCTCTTTGTTAATAAGTTGAATGCCTGCGGCGTAACCTGATATATCATACACGACCGCATCTGAGAGGTGCTTGACCCAACTCTTTAAGTCTGACATTTAATAATTTGTGTTATATAAAAACGAAGGCATCTTGAAATTGAAACTTCTTGCAACAGTTCACCAATCGGTGCTAAGGATGCTGCTAATCACATCTAACTGACCTTTACCTGCTTGCGAACTAATGAACTTCGAGCTTCAGGCGTCAGGCAAAATGTTAATGACCGCAATTAGCTGGCGTTGCCACATTGGAATTCGAAAAACGATAGCTGCACCAAAAGTTTGCTGCTAATTGGAATAATATCGGATTGGAATGACAGCACTTTTAGTTCTCCAGTTAAGCAAGGGGAAACTTGTCTAATTTACACGGGTATTGCTTGGCAGACTAAGCCTGATTATGCCCAGAGCTGGTCACACTGCACATACAAACCGGCGAAAATGTTGCGGCTAACCACAAAACGCATTTCCGACATCGAACATGTTCCAACTTGTCGTTAAAGGACACACATGTTTGAGTGTTGTGTTGTGTTCGACAAGGTTCGATTTTGGAAGTTCTTGCGGTATTCTTTGTAAGCACTACGTGTAAAAGATATATTAGGTTTAAGGTAGTTTAGTTTAGTTCTTTTCAAGAGTTTGTTAATGAAATGTGGCTTATTTATTGAGTTATGAACGGTAAGAGGTGTAGATGACAATTAGGTCTGGAGATGATAAGGTTAAAGGTAGGGGTACAATATAAGTTAAGTTAATCTAAAAGTTGTATATTTTAATCTTTAATTAAAACCAAGGATTGTGCAGATTGTTAACTCTATAGATTGAAATTAAATTTTTAGAAATGTTTTAATATTTACTGAAAATAATATTTATAACAATTCTGCAATTATTTCTGCATTTTAAGAGCGTTGTGAAACAAACACAAGAACTATAAGTGTGGATTTAATTGAACCCTTGGTATGCAAACAGTGTTACAAACTCAAAAAAAACCACTTTCTCAAGTTCTCGAATGACTGAAAATTTTATAATCTGAAATCAAGGGATGTTAAGTTGAGCCGCATGAACAACACTTTCACTGCAGCAAATAACAACAGCAGCAGCATTGGCAACAACAACAACATACCAACAAGTGGCGTTGCCAGAAAACTTACGTCATCTTTGCCGTGCCCCAAACGCAGCAACTAGCATACGTATGTTTACCGCACGCATGTTGTGTTTACCACCCCACCTCACCGAGCCGACCCAAACCCAATCTGAACAGAGTTGCCAGCCTCGGATGCAACTTGAACTTGTGCGCAGGAAGTCAGTTGCGAACCGCTACAAGCTGTGGGAAAAAAATAAAACCAAAACAGTTTCGCAACGAACGCAGCTCGTAGCAGACGCAGCGGAAGGCTCAGGTTGAGGTCCAGGCGCCCAGTGTCCGTGTCCGTGTCCTGAGCCAGTTCTCATACTCGTTCGGCACTCGTTTCTGTTCGGTTCGTGACGTTGCACTCTTCGCAGCGAATCCGTTTTGAAGTTTCAAATCAGTCGTTGCCGACTTGTTGTGTCATTTGCATATTGTCAACATAAGCGGTAATAGCTGTTTTCGCTGCTCGTTTTAGTTTTTGATTTTGAAACCATATCTGAATTAAAATTATAATAATAATTTTAAAAATGCATTAAATTTAAATTGGCATTTTAAGTGCATAATAAACACATGTCGCGAGTGCAATTTTAAATTCGAATTGACATTTTTGTGTATGGCGCTAATTGGGAACTGAGTGAGTTTGAATTTCAATAATAATTAAATTGTTTGCATTTAACCAATTCTTTGATGTCAACTCATTCGTAAATTGCTTTTTATTGAAGTGCGTATCAGGATTTGAATAGTTGTGAAAACTTTTGAATATAATTTGTGGTTGTTAAGCTTTTTTTTTGGTAATTAACGAAATTCTTGTTGGTCGCTCTGGTAAAAGTCCAATAAAAAAGTTTCCATAAACACTGACAAGTTTTTTACAGGCATCAATTTCTAGAATTTTTAATTTGCTGGCTTTTTAAAAGTATTTCTAAACAAGTTAGTTTTGTTGGGCCTTAAAAATATATATTTTCCTAATTTGACTTGTAATAAGGTAATAAACATTTTTTAAACAATTTATATATTTATATTAGGACCATGAAAAGTCAATTCAAGAACACTTGACAACGCTAAGATATGAATCTTATTTAAAGATAAGACAAATAGCAACTTGTGTTAGGGTTTTTAATAGTTTTTATAAAGAAGAGAATTAAAGATTTAATATGATTTTGAAGTCGTCTTTCTTGCTCTTTGGCTATATTTCGATAACACGACCGTTCGGTATAATTTTAATATATCAAATATCAAAGCTGAACATAAATTCAATTTAACATTTTAATTTTTGTTTTTTTTTGCATCAATCAAAAAAAAAAATGGAACATATTTGCAAGCAAATTTTACAAGGATCAAATTTAAACATTTTCTCCGATCCGAAACCAAAAAAAAATATTTCTTTTAACAAGTGCAAAGATTTTGCATAAATCTGAAAAGACTTTATTTTCTGGATGTCAAATATAGTTTTTCAACTTTTTCCTCTTAAACTATAGAAATTATTAAATTGCCTTAAAGTTACTTTTAAAATATTTATAAATAAAATTTGATTAGCCACAAGCCTAAGTAAAAGCCAGTGGAAGCCTTTTAAATATCTTTACACTCAACATGGGTGTGGCACCGTAAGCTGGAAAATACGGCAAAGTGCACGTAAAGATTTACCAAGTTCGACAAGACGCAGCTTCCTCAGATCCGGATGGCTGCTGATTTGATTAGCACTGCAGTCTGGGAAGGCTAAGATGGGACTGCGAGTAGCCATGAAATTTTAATTTAACTTTCTCCAGACAGCACTCATTATGTGTGCGCGTGCGTGTGTGTGTGTGTGTGTCCAAAGCCAAACATTACCATTATATGGTAAGGCATGGAACTGAAACTAAAAATAAAGACAATGCAATTTTATTGCGCAATTTCGTAGCGGCAACGTCTTGC